AAAAACGCTCACTTGGCGTTTTTGTTCACGACCTGAGAGGTTCCGGGCCCCGCGCTCTTGGCATCGCTCGGACGGGTGCCTTTTTCCTCGGCGAGGACCATCGAGGAGCATCCTTGATCATTTGGCGAACAAGCCACGCACGAAACCGAAAAAAACACAGGGAATGGGCGTCCGAGCGATGGCCAGCGCTCGCGTGGTGCCAGGCGGCGCCGTGGCCGTGTGCCGCGGGGCCGCCCGCGGACGCCTTGGGAGGAGGCTGCGCCGAGGACGCGCCGCCCGCCCTGCACCAGCTGCAGGCCCTGCAGGGGGGGGGGGGGACGGGGCCGAGGAGGGGGGTGATGACTGGGGTCCTCCTCCTCCTCCTCCTTCTCCTCCTCCTTCCCCTCCTCCTCCTCCTCCTTCTCCTCCTCCTCCTGCTCCTCCTCCTCCTCCTCCTCCTCCTCCTCCTTCCCCTCCTCGTTCTCCCCCTCCTCCTCCTCCTCCTCGTCCTCCTCCTCCTCCCGCCTCCTCCTCCTCCTCCTCCTCCTCCTCCTCCTCCTCCTCCTCCTCTGGCACGTGGCTTCCCCCCCGCACGCCTGTCGCGCCAGGTCGGGGGGGTCGATGTCATGGCGTGGGGCATGACATTTCCTCAGGTTTCGTGGCGCCTCCTCTCATTTCATCGCGTCCCTGGGCCCCCCCGCCCCTGGGCCGCGCACGTGCCGCCGGCCATGCTTTGCGCCCCCCCCCCCCCCCTCTCTTGGACGCCCCCCTCTTGGACGCCCCCGATGGTGGGGTGGGGGGGGGCAGCACGCATCGCAGGGGCTCGACGTGTTCACACCTGTCGTCTGGTGTGCCAGCCCGACGCCAATACCTGCCGTCGCAGCCGCGTTCCCTCCTGTCGCAACTGCGGTGTCGATGTGCTGTTTTCAGGCCACGGTTCGTAGCATGAGTTTGCCTATTGCGGGTCGGCTTGTGCGGTGCTCCCGTTTTGCTTGGCTGTCGGCCTCTTGATTCGCGATGTGGTTGTTTCACCCGTGATGTTCCGCGTGGAAGCCGTGTCGTCAGATCGGCCAGGGAGTGAAGGAGTTCGGCGAAGGAATTCGGCGTACAGACGCTCCATCGTCCCAAAGGTGGGGCAGCTGGGGCGTCTCCGCACAGAGCTCCTTGGCCGACCAGGCGACTCCGTGTAGACTTCGAGCCCCCGTCAACGCAGACGCGCCGCCAATCTGCAACTCCGACCTCAGAGGAGTATAGGCTACCGATCTCGCTACCCTTCCCTCGTTGTCGATTTTTGGGGCTCCCTGGGAGGCCCTCGTCGCCACGGCTGGATTCTCGGAGGCCTAGGGGTTGGTACCAACACCCATATCGGCGGTGTGCCTCCACCGAGGGAAGCTGGTGGCCGAACTATTTCCACCAACGCCAACAGCCAGGATCACCTTCCCCGGGCGGAGGCACTTCGCGGTGTCGGTGCTGGTGCCCAGCTCCAAGCCTCCAGGATTCACCTCGAAATCCTAAATCCTGGTCAGAACGCGCCCCAGGAAAGGTCTGGGGGAGCAGCGGCATCGGTACCTTCTGCTCTTCCCTCGCACGCAGGCGCGCCGAGCCGCGTGCCCGCGGGCACGTCCGTGGGCCCGCTTGCAGCCCACACCGCAGACACGCTCACGGCGATGCAGGTCTCGGCACTGCCCGTGGGGGCGGTTCGCGGCCGGCCCACGCTTGCAGGAAAGGCTCGCTCGTGCTCTCCTGCAGCTCCTTCTGCGCGAGTTCGGCGCCGCAGGAACCACATTCCCAACACCGCCGTCGACCGACACCGCCGTCAGCGTGGCCCTGGCCGCACCTCCGCACTTTGGGGGGGGGGACGCGCAGTGGGCGCGCCACGGCGCGAGGCGCTGGCCTTGTTCGGCAGGTGCCTCGACGTCGAGGATATGGGAGGAGGCGGTGCGTCCCCGCCTCGGCGGGAGGCGCCGGGGGCGCCAGCGGGAGCCAGCGGAGGCAGAAGCGGCGGGCCGCTCCGCCGGAGAGCTGCACGATCGAAATGGGCAGGGAAAGAATTGGGTACGATACGCAGCAGTTTCTGATCCTTTTGAACAGGACTCGCTGTCCGCGCCGCCGCGGCCTGTGTCCATTCGAGACAGAAGGCCGCCCGCCCAACAGCGGTGCCCATGGTTTCCGTGCTCATTTCGGGCGTCCGAAGGAGAGAGGCCAGCGGAAGTGAGAGTTGCGCCCCCAGGATCAAGCAGTGGCGAGGCGTCCAGGCTTGCTCGCAGGCCCACCAGCGAAGGTTCTAAGAACCTCCTGTGGTCTGCACGGGATGTTCTCGGGTTCTTTCTGGCTGAGAACGTCTTGGTTTAATGCATCGGGTGTATGTCCTCAGGTTCTTGTTTTTGTGTTTCTGCAGTTCTGTTGCTCTAAGAGCATGTCGTAGTAGGCCTATCGTAATGCCAGGGCTGCCGGTCCCTGCTAAACAAGTGACGGTGGAGGGAAACAGCTGCCCAATACTTCCCCTCCCCCCAAACTCAGATTTGGCACGCGCGGAGGGGACTGCGGACGAGGTGCCGCTCATCAGACCCACCGCCGACTTTGAACACCGGGGGAAGGGGGAGGCGCTGACAGATGAACCTGGCGTGGGTGTTCGCTACTTTTTCCGGCACCTTTTTTCGGTGCAGGATTTTCGGAGTTGGCCACGCAGACGCCCCGATCTGCATGCCCGCGCGCACGTCCATGGGCCGCCCACAGCCGACGCGTCCGAACCGAGGGGAAGAATGTGCCAACTGACTTGTGACCATCACTACGCATCCTTTCTGTGCATGTTTGTCGGTGGCGCTGGAAACCCAACGCCCTGAGATCCACCCATGACGTCTGGCGGCGCCCAGGAAGGCGAGGTCCAGGTTGGTTTTCCTTGGGCGGGCGCTCCGCTGAACCCCCCTGCTGCACAGGAAGTGGCCATCGCTATGCGATTGGAAGCACCCATGGGAGGGTAACAGGAGACGAGATGCGCAGGGGGAGCGGCGGACGAAGGAGGGATACTGGCTTATGAAAGAAGGGGAAGGATGGAGGAGTGAGCGGGGAGGGATCAACGAGGATGTGGACGTCGTTCGGGAGCCCTGTCCTTTGTAATCTGACGCATATGGACCAGAGGATTCATTCACCGTGCTTGACTGCGATGCGTTGTGGGGCGGGGGAGGCCCTGGGCGGGGGGGGATGCGCAGTTGCCTCAACAAGTGCCCACGCATGTTGCAAAACATATTTTGGAAATGCGTGCTCTACTTGGCGATTCAACTTTCTCTCACATGTGAGCAGTAGGCTTACCGAGCAAGCTGTATACTCGTGTATGTATGCGTACATATACCCTATACTTGCATCTGCGAACATGCACAACCACACACATATATATATATATAGATACAGAGAGAGAGAGAGAGAGAGAGGTCGAGAAAGAGAGAGAGAGAGAGAGAGAGAGTGAGAGGGAGAGCACTATGGCCATCAATCCAGCTACGGCCCAACAACGGAAACCGCTCGGAACATCCATGGGATGACCATGGGACAACTCAGGGACGCTCGGGGCTACGGATCTATGTAACCACGGGGCGGCCGCGGGAACCCCCCCACGAACAAAAGCAGTGAGCAACCCAGCCCTCCAGGGCCGGGCTTGGGGGGAAGCAGGCAATGTAAACGTAGGTGCCCGTAGCTACGGAAGGATCCTCTTCGCACTCGCGCTTTGCCCATGAGCGGCGGACGCATCCACATCCACGCCCTCGCGGTGTGGATTCTTGGGCGCGTTGCCGCGGATACGCCGTCGAATGGGTATTTCCCGCGCGTCGGATTGGCGAACACGATTTCCCATATCCACGGGGTTGCCGCCCAGGGCTCCTGCTTGCGAGGCTGTGGATACGGATAGCCTCGCCCAAGGCGCGGCACGAACCGAAACAGCCGATTTCCTTGCGTGGGTGATGGCCGATTTTCATGTCGGTCCATGAGGGACTTGAGGGCGCATGGCCACTCGCCATCGGCACAGTTTCGGCTCTTCATCGAAAGGGCAAGAGGGGGCTTCACACTAGGAAGCTCCAGAGCGCCCAGGATCTTCATCGAAAGGGCTTCGCACCAGGATCTTCATCGAGAGGGCACGAGGGGGCCAGATTGCCCACCACTGCTGCGCACCAGGAGGCGCGCAGAGCGCCACTGTTGGCCAGGCCCACCCTCGGCCAGGATTTAGCGCACGGTATGCCCCGGCCAGGCCGGGCCCAGACAGGCCATGTCTCGACGTCTCCCCATGTCCTAAGATGGGGTTCTTCTTATCACTCAGGCGCCTCTGGACCTCCCCCCTCGCACCTCACGCCCTCGCCCTCCTCCTCGGACTCGCCCTCTCATGCTCAGACTTGCTCAGACCCAGGCTCACTCACGCTCAGACTCGCTCGTGCTCAGACTCACTCAGATCCAGACTCACCTCACACTTAGACTCACTCTGATTCGCTCGCAATCATACCCAGTCATTATCAGGCTCACTCACGCTCAGACTCACTCATACTCCGACTTACTCATGCTCAGACTCAGTCTTCCTCACTCAGGCTCCGTCTCATCACTTCCTTGTTCAGATTCACTCATACCCAGAACCACTCAAGCACAAGCTGCGAGGATGTATCAGGTGAGCTGTTGGTTTCGGTACTCCCAATGGGGGGGCCGCCAGAGGATTCGCTTCCAGACTCTGGGAATGTGCCAAGCGGTTTGCCTGTTTGGGTGCCCAACATCCTCTGCGTCCATAGCAGATCGTGGGGATGTCTCAGGCGAGGCGCTGGTTTCAGCACTCGCAGAGGGGAGCCAGCATGGGACACTGCAGGATTCGCGCCCAGATTGGGGATGCCTCAGGCGGTTTGCCTGTTTGGGTGCCTAACATCCTCTGCTGTCGGTGCGGATTGCGAGCCGCTGGCTTCAGTATTTCCAATGGGGAGCCGCCAGGTGTGGGGACATTCAGGATTCACGCCCAGATTGTGGAGATGTCTCAGGCGGTTTGCCGGGTACCCAACATCCTTTATTTTCGGAGCAGATTGTGAGGATACTCCAGGTGAGGCGCTGGTTTCAGCACTCGCAAGGGGGAGCCGCCAGGGGTGGGGACACTCCAGGATTGGCGCCCAGATTGTGGGGATGTCTTGTCTGGGTGCCCAGCGTGCTTTGCTGCTTTCGGAGCAGATTGTTAGGATGTCTCGGGTGAGGCGCTGGTTTGAGCACTCCCAAGGGGGAGCCCGCAGGGGTGGGAGCACTCACGCTCAGATGCTCTCATATTCTTCACACTCGCACGCAGACAACTCACACTCAAATGCACGCAGACCTTTCACGCTCATGCCCACACTTTGACAATTCACATTCACTCACACTCATGCGCATAGACTCACTCACACTCCTACTCATTCACATTCAGATTCATGCGCTCAAACTCACCTGTTCCAATATTGTCATATTCAGACCCGTTCACGTTTAGACTCTCGCGCACAGACGCTCGCAGCGGGAAAGGTGTGGACAAATAGACGCACATTTGGGGATCTCCGCGTCGAATGATTTTTCAATACGGGGTCCCCGGGAGTCCCGACCCTTTCCACAGTCGGGAGACTTGAGACGGGGCCAATGCCAACGAGGGTCAGCCAGTGCGCCGGATCTTGCAGGATCCTGCAGAGCCAGGGGTGCATTGACCCAGGCTAGCGCGCAGGATCACGCAGGATCCTGCACGATACTGCAGGACCCTGCAGAGCCTGACTGACCTGGGTTTGCATTGACCCGGGTCAGTGCGTCCCCGACCCAGGGCCAGTTCTGCATCCCGAGCACTTTTTGGACGGTCTCTGGGCCTGGCGAGGCCCCTGCATGGTCGCCAGAGAAACGGCCCCCCAGCACCTTCCGCCGCGATTTGTTTTGCTCCCGGCGCGAGCATGGGCGGGGGGCACTGGTCGAGGGAGGAAAAGCCACCCGGACCCTACAATTGGCGTTTACTGAACGGCATTGGGCGTTTACTAAACATCGGAGGGCACCAGCTATTCACCTACACCGATCTTGGCCAGGCCAATCCTGCGCCCAGGATTGGTGTATATGCCTTCCTGCCCCAGGCAGGAGGGCGTATACACCGATCCTGGGCCCAGGGTGGTCCTGGCCAGGATCGGTGTTGGCGTATAGTTGGCGCCCTCCTAAAACAGCCCTACCCTGTCTGTGGGTGCGTTCAGTAGACGGCTTCGCGTGTCGGGGTGGCTATTATCGGGCTGGAGCTCCCGCCCTCTAACCGGTCCTGCGTCCCGGCTGCGCCTCGCCAGCCGCAGTCCCGAGGCCCCCACGTGTATCGGGGGCGGCGAAGAGGGGGGTGATGATTTGGGGGGGTCAGGAGGGGAAAAAACACAGACACAATTAATCCTCGACTCCCCAGAAAATATGGGAAATATGGGCAGTGGGCGGGAAGACAGAAACTCAGAAAACATGGGAACATGTGGGGGATATTTTTATTTGTGTGTATCTATTTGTGTGTCGTGGGGCCCCTTTAGGGGGGTGGATATCACGGCGTGGGCCAGGGTGTTTCCCCAGACTTCATGGCGCCTCTTCTTATCTCATGACGTCCCTGGCCCCCCCGCGGGGCCGCGCACGTGCCGCCTGCCATGATTCGCCCCCCGCCCTCTCGGACACCCCCCTCCTGGCCGCTCCCGGGGGCACAGCCGGGGCCCTGAAGAAGGAACCCTTTTCGTTGGGGAGGGGCTCCGTGTTCCTTTAATTGTTTCGCAGCTTGCCTTGGAGTTTCCTTGGGCTTTCGATGGGAAAATCGAAGTTCAACTTGTGGAGAAAAGGGGCCTCGCTCCTTATTTGGGGCTCCTTAGGTCGACGCCCCGAGTGCACACCCCCGCCCACCAGGGAGCGCTGGACAGGCTCGCGGAGCTGGAGCGCGAGCGGCGGCGCGTCTTCGACACCATGGTCCTCGACCCCGGCCGCAGCGCGCTGACCCGCTTCGCGGAGAGCGGGCCCCCCCCGCCGCACGGGGCGCTCCTCGGGGGCGGCGAGGAGGGGGGGGGGGGTGATGGCCGGCGGGGGTGGACGGTCATGGCGTGGGCCACGAGATGTTTCCTCCGCTCTCGTCGTGGCGCGGCTTCGTATGTTGTGGCGTGCATGGCCCCCCCCCCGCCCTGGGCCGCGCACTCCCTCTGCAGGGGGAAGATGCGAGAGTAGTCCACTAATGGTCTGGGGACCAGCTTTCGAGTATTTGTTGACCATGTTGGAGTATTGTTTGAGTATTTATTACTTTTCGTCGAAGGTCCCCCGGTAGGGGGACACGTCCGACTGAACGCTGGCCGTGATTTGCGCCCCTCCCTTTCGGGCGACCCCCTCTTGGCCGCCCCCCAAGATCGCCCCCCCCCCACCCCACACGGTGCGTCCCAGAGGATGGCGCGGTAGGGGCGGCGCGGGAGAGGCCGCCAGGGGTGGGGGGCAGCGCCGATTCGAAACCCGCGCGACCTCCAAGGAATTGCGTTTATCGGGAGGGAAACAAACACACAGACACAATTCATCGTCGATTCCCCCGGAAATATGGGAAACTATGGCAAGTGGGGGGGAAGACGAAAATCCCAAACACATGGGAAAATATGGGGGATCTTTTTATTTGTGTGTATTTATTTGTGTGTCCTGGGGCCCCTTCAGTTTACGCCGTCTGTTGTTCTTCGGGGCTCACCACCAGAGGACTTGAGCAGGTGGGGTCGGAGGATGGCGCCGCATCGCCGTTGCACCGCCGATGCGGCTCGATGTGGAGCCCGATTTTCTCCATGCCGACGGCGCCGATGCATCGACGATGCGGCACAATTCTCCGACTCCAGCTGCTCGGACCCTATTTTTTGGGAGTCCTCCAGTGGTGAGCCCCGAAGCACAACTGACGGCATAACCGTAACTTCTTGGAGGTCGCGCGGGTTTCGAATCGGCGCTGGCCCCCCCGCTGGCGGTGTCTCCAGCGCCGCCCCTGGCGCGCTCCGCGTGCCAGAGGAGGGCCCAGTGCCGATCCAAAAAAATCTGGGCGGACCTTCGAGACATTCTGCTGACGTCGCTGTTTCTCCCGCTAGAGTCAGTGGGATGCGGGCTCTTCGGGGCTCGGGGGTCGTTCCGAGGACGTCTCGGGCGGCGGGGGCCTCCGGGGCCCCAGGGCCATGCGGCGACGGCCCGTGCGGTGCGGTCGTGGGGGATCCCGAGGTCGCCGCGCGGTCGGCCACCGCACCGTTGTGGACCCCCGAGGAGAGCGTGGGCGGCAGCGGCATGCACACGCCCGTCTCGGCGGCCTCCGTGGGCATCGGAGGCCAGGGCTCCGCCAGCAGGCAGAGGTCGGCGCCCCCGCGGCTGTCCCGGGCGCCCGCGCCGGAGCAGGGCGCGGAGCTCGCCCTCGCCACGACGTTGGAGTCCGAGGCCATGGAGAAGCCGCAGTGGCTGCTTGCCGACGGCCGGCTCCTCACCGCGTCCCTGGAGGCCGGGTGCTGCCCGAAGTGGTCCTGGCCCAGGGTGCTCCCAGCGTCTCGCGCCGTCCTGGGGCCCCTGGGACCGGAGAGGAGGAGGAGGAGGAGGAGGAGGAGGAGGAGGAGGAGGAGGATGAGGAGGAGGAGGAGGAGGAGGAGGAGGAGGGAGGAGGAGGAGGAGGGGAGGAGGAGGAGGAGGAGGAGGAGGAGGAGGAGGAGGAGGAGGAGGAGAGGAGGATAGGAGGAGGAGGAAGGAGGAGGAGAGGGGAGGAGGAGGAGGAGGAGGAGGAGGAGGAGGAGGAGGAGGAGGAGGAGGAGGCGGCGGGAGGAGGAGGAGGAGAGGGAGAGGAGGAGCAGGAGGGAGCGCGGCGGAGGAGGGGGAGGCGGAGGAGGAGAGGAGGAGGAGGAGGAGCAGGAGGAGGAGGAGGAGGAGGAGGCGGCGGCGGAGGAGGAGGAGGAGGCGGAGGAGGAGCAGGAGGAGGAGGAGGAGGAGGAGGCGGCGGAGGAGGAGGAGGAGGCGGAGGAGGAGCAGGAGGAGGAGGAGGAGGCGGAGGAGGAGGCGGAGGAGGAGGAGGCGGAGGAGGAGGAGGAGGAGGAGGAGGAGGAGGAGGAGGCCCCCCTGGGCCTCGTGATGGGGTGCTCTGGAAGTCGCCTGTGCCTCCCCGGGGCCCAACTCCAGCAGCGCCCGGCGAGGGCGAGAACGAGGCGCTGAAGCGCGCCGTGCTGCGCGCGCGGTCCGAGATCGACGACCTCGTGCGGCGCCGCTGCGAGGCCGACGCGCGCGCGCGCTCGCTGGTGTTCGAGAACTCGGCCGCCGCGCAGGCGCCTCCGGCGCGGCTCCGCTGTCTTCCTCCTCCTCCTCCTCCTCCTCCTGCTCCTCCTCCGCCTCCTCCTCCTCCTCCGCCGCCGCCTCCTCCTCCTCCTCCTCCTGCTCCTGCTCCTGCTCCTCCTCCTCCCCTCCTCCTTTTTCCCCCTCCTCCCCCCCCCCCCTCCCACAAGTGTAGCCGACCTCCCCCGTTTTGGATGCTCTGTTTGTTTTGGCCGATGGAGGGTCTTCTGCTTTCGAGGGGTGTGCTTCTGGCCCAGGTCCGGCTGCAGGAGTGCCCCTTCGCCGGAGTGCCTTTGGTAAAACGACGCGAAGATCGGGACAAAATCGGATCGGGATAACTCGAAATCTCTGAGAGTCGGCGGGTTTGGAGGATGTATTGGGCGCCGCGGCCGCTCCAGAGCGTTCCGGAACGCTCTGAGAGCACTCCGGAACGCTCTGGAGCGATTTATCCCGATCCTAGCCCTGTTTTAGTCTTCTGTGCTCGAGGGGTGCGCTTCTGGCCCAGGTCCGGCTGTCGGAGTGCCCCTTCGCCGGGGTGTCTTTGGTGCGGGCCCACCCGGTTCGGCCGAGCGCCGACCGCGGTGCGATGGCAGCGTCTCGCGCGCTCGTGCCTGGCCCCCCCGCGGCCCCCCGAAATGCCGCGCACCAAAGGTCGCTCCCACCCAGGGTCACTCCTGCGCGCAGCTGGCTCTTCGGGGGCTGCCAGGCCAAGACAGGCTCGCCCTGGGGCAACAATCACGACGGGAGGCACTCGCCCGACGGAGAAGATTCCAGGCGGAGGTTTGTCGCAATTTTCGGCCTCCAGGGGCCTGGGGTACGCCATTCGGGCTGTGCCGCTGGGGCCTTCAGTGGAGCTCCCTATGGGGCCACGAAGCGCGTGAGGGGTGTGCCAACATAAACATAACAGCTCTGAGGTCCGCGCGGATTTCTCGGATCGGCGCTGAACCCCCCTCCCTGGCGCGCTGAGCGCGCCAGGGGCAGCGCCAGAGGCGCCGCCAGGGGGGCCCAGCGCCGATCCGAGAAACCCACGCGGGCCTCAGAGTTTTTATGCTCATGTCACCGTTCGTTCCCCTATGCTTAGGTCGGGCATCGCCTCCCAGAGGCGGATTTTGAGAACGACAAATGAAAACTAGTCAATCAAAGTTAGAACAGATTTTAAGATAGCCGAGCACTCGTCCCCATATTATGTTTTTACTATTTTTAGATTTCCCTATGGTTAGGTCGGAAATGTCCTCATAGAGGCGGATTTTGAACGAACAAATGAGAACTAGTCCAAAGAAGTTAGAACATATTTTAAGATAGCCGAGAACGCGTCCCCATACTACTTCTTGGCTATTTCTAGATTTGCCTCCTCTGGAGGGACATGCCCGAGTTAAGGCCTCCCGCGCCGGCACCGCGCCAGGCCCTGCAGCGCGCCGCCGCCGGGGCCGTGCGGCGCCCCGGGCCTGCTGCCTGGCCGGCCGGCGGCTCCTCCACGCCGGTCGCGTCTGCGGGGTGCCAGCAGCCGGGAGTCCTCGGAGGAGGAGGATCGGCGGTTCAGAGGTGGGGTCCCGAGAGATGGGTTCCTGAGGATAGGAAGGGGTCGAAGGGTAGCCTTATACGTTGTTTGAGGCACCCTGTCCTCAGGATCCCATCCCTCAGGACCCCATCTCTGAACCGCCGAGAGGAGGAGGAGGACCCAGACTCAGGTCGGGCATGTCCCTCTCGAGGAGGAAGATTCAACACTAGTCAAAGCATAGTATGGGGACGAGTTCTCGACTGTTCGTGGGCATTTTCGAACCTGTTTTGGGCCGTTTTTTATTTTTCGTCCAAAGTACGCCTGTAGAGGGACATGCCCGACCTAAACCCGAGCATTTTCTTTGGGTGGAGGGCAAAGGGTGAAATTTGAAATGCCGTTCCGATTGATTTTCGAGGTTGAATCTGCAGGTTGAATCTGCAGAAGGTGAATCACAGGACGGATTGATTTTCAAGGTGCAAAAATCATATGGATTTCACCCCGAGCCCTCCACCCAAAGAAAATGCCCAGTAAACCCAGACCTCCAACGTCTTGCGAAGCTCGAGGCGGAGGGGTCTCGAGATCTGGGGCCCCCGCCGGGCCCCCGGGGCCGTCCAAGACGTCGCTGGGAGGAGCGAAACGCCAGTCCTGGGGCAGGGGCCGGGACCTCTGGGGAGCGCGCATGGGCAAATCAAGATGTCGGATGTTTGGGGAGGCCTGAGTGAGGCCCCGCCTTCTTCCGCCCTTTCTCTGCGAATGAAAGCTGTGCTCGTCCCGCTTAGCTTTCAGCGGAAGAGGTTCGCTCTCGCCCTGCGGATCAAACAAATGTCAGTCCTGCATGGGGCAGGGGCCCGACCTCCGGGGAGCGCGCATGGGCAGATCAAGATGTCGGATGTTTGGGGAGGCCTCGGAGGAGGATCAGAGGAGGAACTTTTTTGATCCGCGGGTCGAGAGCGCACCTCTTCCGGTCGAAGCTAAGCGGGCCGCGCACGGCTTGAATTCACGAGAGGGGGGGGCAGAAGGAGGGGCCTCACGTCAAGGCCAAGAGAGGGCAAAGCCCCGGAATCAGGCGGTGCCGAAGGCGATGTGCATGCAAAGGGACGCCTGGTACATCAGAGGAGAAACGCACGCGTACCGATACCGTTGCCCGCCCTTCGTCGCCGCGGCCGGGTGCGCCTCGACCGCCCGGGCAGGGCGCGCCCCCGGGGAGAGGTCCTGGGAAGTATAGCGGTATTGGCACGTCCTTCTCCGCCCAGAGGAGGACGAGCGAACAGCACCCACCCGTACACACCCATACCCATATATGGGGGAACGGACGGGGTTATGAGTGCGCGTGGGTGGATGCGGGCCCCCGCTCGAGCGGGAGCGCGGGAGCGTCCCCCGGGGGGCCAACAACCCGCACCGGGACTCAAGAGGCGGGGGTCGATGCAACCGGGGTCCGTCATGGCGCCAGATCCTGCAGGATCCTGCAGGGGCCAGGGGTGCCCTGACCAGGGCTTTGGTGTACAGGATCCGGCAGGATCCCGCAGGAGCTCGGATGATCCTGCAGGGCCCGACTGCTCTGGGCCTGGATGGACCCGTTGACCCGGGTCAGCTGATCCCCGAGGCTCGGAAGGAGAAGCCGGTGCTGGGGGAAAACTGCAGACTCCAGACCTCCGCGGGTCCGCGTGGTAAAAGAAACGCAACGTCCGGGGTCCTGGGGAGGAGGGAGGAGGCGAGGAGGCGGAGGAGCCGGCGGAGGAGAGGAGGCGACCCCTGTTCAGCCAGCGATGACCTTCAACAGGCTCACTAGTTTGATCAAACCCCGAGGGTCGACCAGCCCTGTGGGGGAGGGCAGCACCCGCAGGGACCTCATGCCGTTAGTGTTTAAGCGCCTCGGGAGGAGGCGGAGAAAGAGAAGGAGGAGAAGGAGGAAAAAGCCAGAGGAGGAAACGATGTCTGGACCGCTGCTCGTCTTGGCGAGCCGTCGTCGCCATCGCTGGACTCGCTACGACATGTTTGTCAAAACGCACGCCTGGAGAGGTCTGGGGAGTCACGGCATCGGTGCTTGTTTTCCCCCCTGAATGAGTGAGCGAGGAAGAGTGCGGATGATGATGAAGAGAAGGATGAGGACCAGTACATCCAAGACAGGGCAAAGATGTTGCAGTAAGCTCTCCCTCCGAGTTCCGCTCAATGGGTCACCGAGGAATGTTTTTTTCATTGCGGGGTGTGGCTCATTAGAAGACAGCCGTCTGGTAGATCCCAATCGTGTCAAAACACAATTCTTGGGAATTCAGCGCCGCAGATCAACGTGACTGTTGCGTCCTGACCGTCCTAAACCGTGCAGGAACATTTCTCCTTCGATTTCAACACTTCGAATCAACGTGATTGCTGCGTCCTCGCACTCCTAAGTTGTACCAGAATGCGCTTCCTGAGTCTTAAGCCATACGAATTCTTGACCCTGCTGCACACTTTTCAGACGAATGCGTTCGGCGCTAAGGCGAGAGCAATGTTTTGAAACGGAGCTGCCCTCCATCAGTGAATCTGTTGAAACCGTTTAAGACGACTGTGCGCAGCGTTAGGGCGAGAGCCACATTTTGAAACGGACGTGCCCTCTATCCTTGAAGCTGTTGCAAACTTCTCAGACTAATGCGCACGGTGTTCAGGCGATAGCCACATTTTCAAAACGACCAGCCATCCCATCTGTTAAAATGTTGCAGATTTCAAGGTCCATGACCATACATGGTGAGGACGTCTCTGGCGAAACGCCCAGGCCGCCCTATCGACACGTCTGGGGTGCGACAGAGAGGATTTATTTATCGAAGACGCCTACGGCGAATCACCGCCGCCCCCTGCCCCTTTGGAAGCGCCTCTGTGGCCGACAGCTGGGCCAGAGCTTGGCCGAGCTATCGGGCCAGCTGTTCTCCGAGTTGGTTTGGAAAGACTGCGGGGAACGCGTGGGGGAGCACGAGGAGGAGGAGGGGGAGGATGAGGAACAAACAAGGATGATGATGATGATGATGATGATGATGATGAGGATGAGGAGGAGGAGGAGGAGGAGGAGGAGGAGGAGGAGGAGGAGGAGGAGGAGGAGGAGGAGGCCTCTTGGGCGCCTCTTGGGGCACTCTTTGGGCCTCCTGCGAGCTTCCTGTGGGCCCCTTGACGGGTTTTTGTGGGCCTTTGGAGGCTTCCTGGGGGCGTCTTTGGCCGTCTTAGGGCGTTCCTGGCTTGTCTGACGCCGTCGGAAGCCGTCTTGGGGGCCTGTCTGGGTCGTCTTGGGGTCCTCTTGGGGCATACCACGGGTTCTTAGAGACCATCTTGGGCGTCTTGGATGCCTCTTGGGGCGTTTTGGGGCCCTCTTGGGGCCGTCTTGGGGGCCTTTTGGGCCGTCATGGGGCCATCTTGGAGGCCCCTTGGGCGATCTTGCGGGCCTCTTGCGCCGCCTTGAGCCGTCGGAATGCTGAGAAGAAGCAACTGCAAACATCTCCAAACCACTTCAGGGAAATCAGTGATTTTGGCCTCTTCGTGCCCTCCTGGAAGACCTCCTGGACGCCTTTTGGGCCGTCTTGGGCGCCCCTTGGGACCTCTTGGGCCGTCTTGGGCCATTTTGAGGCCATCTTAGGCCGTCTTGGGTGCCTCTTGGGCCGCCTGGGAGGCATCTTGGAGCCATCGTAGCCGTCTTGGAAGCCCTTTTGGCAGTCTTGGAGGCCTCTTGGGCCCTCTTGGGGCCGTCTTGGGGGCCTCTTGGGCCGTCATGGGGCCAACTTGGAGGCCTCGTGGGCGATCTTGGGGGCCTCTTGGGCCGTCTTGAGCCGTCGGAAGGCCGAACATGCGAAAATGCCAACATCCTTCAACCACGGAAGGGGAATCAATGAGTTTCGCCTCTTCGGGCCTTCCTGGAGGACCTCTTGGAGGCCTCTTGTGCCGTCTTGGAGGCCTCTTGGGGGCCTGTTGGGCCGTCTTCGGCCATTTGGAGGCCATCTCTTGGGCCGTTTTGGAGGCATCTTGGGGCCATCTTAGCCGTCTTGGAGGCCACCTTGGGCGTCTTGGAGGCCTCTTGGGCCCTCTTGGGGCCCTCTTGGGGCCCTCTTGGGGGCATCTTGGGGGCCTCTTGGGCCGTCATGGGGCCATCTTGGAGACCTCTGGGGCGATCTTGGGGCGATCTTGGAGGCCACATCCTTCAAACACGTAAGGCGAATCAATGAATTTGGCCTCTTCGGGCCTTTCCTGGAGGACCTCTTGGAGGCCTCTTGTGTCGTGTTGGGCCGTCTTGGAGGTTTCTCGGGCGACCTTGGAGGTATCTTGGACTCTCTTGGGCCGTCTTGGAGGCGTCTTGGACCATCTTGGGCGGACTTGGAGGCCATCTTGGACCATCTTGGAGGCCATCTTGGGCCAACGTGACCATCTTGGAGGCCATCTTGAGCCGTCTTGGAGGATTTTGTTGGGGATTGAGGTCCTGGGCAATCTTTTCGAGTGGCCAGCGGGACGGGCCGAAGCCCCAAGGGGAGTACTTTTGGAAAAAGAACCAAGGCCCAAACCGTCAGGGTTCAGCACGCCAGGCACCCCTGCGATGAATCGACAGGGGGCGGCGGATCTAATGGCCTCGGCCCATCCCGCCACCGTGCCTGGGTTGTGCGTCAGAGTTCTTTTGGATGTGTCTTCGGGTCTCTTCGGAGCGCTCTCGGGGGCCTTGTGGGAGCAGTTTTGGAGACTCTCCTCTTGGGGGTCTCTTGGGGGCTTCTTGGGGCCTCTTGGGGCCTCCTGGGGGACCCTCGGGGCCGAGGGCTCGAAATGTCCGTTCGGGCTTTCTATCTTGGCCCCTTCTTGGGGCCGCCTTGCTTTGGGGCCCTCTTGGGCAGTCTTGGGACCGTCTTGGGCCTCTTGGGACATCTTGCGGTGATCTTGGGAACCTCTTTGGCTATCTTGGAAAAGGCAAAAAGACCAAACACTTGCAACAACCTGCGGCGAATCAATGATTTTGCCCTTTGGGGGCATTCTCGGGGGGCCGCTTGGAGGCCTCTTGGGGCGTCTTGGGGGCCTCTTGGACCGTATTAGGGGCCACTCTGGACGTCTTGGAGCGATTTGTAGGCGTCTCGAGGCCCTCTCGGACCGTCTTGGGGGACTCTTGGGGCTCTCGTGTCCCAAAAAGTCATGTGACAAGAGGCGCCGGAGCGCAGGGGGCACGCGACGCGCCCCGCCAGATTTGGCAGTTCGGGGTCCAGGCCATGAAGAGACTCGTCGGGGGTGAGGACTGAGGCTTTGAGAACTGGGGAGAGGACCTGAGGGCACGCCCACTCCGCGCCCAGAGACACGGTGGCACAAAAGGGAAAGGGATGGCAGAGAAGAAGAGGATGTGACGGTCGAGGGCGAGGAGAAAGAGGGAGGAAGAGAAAGTGGTGGAGGAGGAGGAGGAGGAGGAGGAGGAGGAGGAGGAGGAGGAGGAGGAGGAGGAGGAGGTGGAGCAGGAGGAGGAGGAGGAGGAGGAGGAGGAGGAGGAGGAGGGAGGATGAGGAGAAGGAGGAGGGCGAGGAGGAGGAGGAGGAGGAGGAGGAGGAGGAGGAGGAAGTGGAGGAGGAAGAGGAAGAGGAGGAGGAGAAGGAGGAGGAGGAGGTGGAGGAGGAGGAGGAGGAGAAGCTGGCAGGAGGTTCGTAGACCTCCGACGTGGCGGTACTTTCAGCCCCGCCGCTCTTTGCTCTAATTCCAAGCTCGGGGGCCGCTTGCAGGCTCCAGGACAACCCGACAGCGGTTCGCGGCGAACACAATGCCCCAGGGAGGCTGTCTAGGGGTCCGGGGATAAGGGGGGGGACGACTATTAAATCAAAGCACGACGTTGAAGGCCTGGGGAAGAGGTTGGCGGCGCGCACAAGGGGGCCCTGGGAGGGGGGCGGCCTTGTAGGAGGGCCTCCCATATTTCTGGACCAGAACCAGCAGGAACATGATGTTTGAGCGGGCCAGCTTCTTCCAAGAAGCCCCCCTGCCCTCTTAGACTGCCGCCCCCTGTGCCCTGCCTCTTCTTGCACGCCGCTCGAAGGGAGGAGGGGGAGGAAGGAGAGGGGCAGAAGGCAAGCTAGGTGCGCTCGCGTCATATCTGACATCCTACCCCTCCCTCCCATCCCTTACCATGGCGTAGATCCCCTCTCTACTCGCACAGTCGGATGTCGAGCAGGGGAGTGATCCCGAAAGGGTACGTGATGCATTGCAGAGCACGGCATGGCATGGCGTAGAAGAGCACCGCAAAGCGTAGTATCAACCTAGCATTGCATTGCATGCCGTGGCATGGCACGGGAAATGACGCCAGCGCTGCAGCGGGAGCACGAGTCGGAACGAGCGGAAGCGCGGAAATGAGGCCAGAGCTGCAGCGGGAGCACGATTCGGAACGAGCGGAAGCACGGAAATGAGGCCAGCGCTGCAGCGGGAGCACGATTCGGAACGAGCGGGGCCCGAAAATGAGGCCGGCGCCTCAGCTAGAGCAGCATTTTGGAAAAAGAAAAGATGCATGCGAAAACCCAACTCCGGGGAATCCTGTGTAAAAAAACAGCACGCGGGGGGGGGGGCTAACAGGCTAACACTTTCAAACCGTCATCAGGGGAAGAGGGAGAGTAGTATTCATATTGAGTAATTGTGGATGGAGCGGGAATGGAATGGCAGACGAGACAGGGAAGGAGCTGTGGTGGGGAGCGCGAGAACCGCAGGGAGAGTCGGACATGGGAGGGCCAGGCGGTCCGGTGCAGTTGTCCTCGGCGCCTCACAGCGCATTGTGACGTTCCCCCCTCTCGTCTCCCCTTCGCGACTACCTGCGAACCCCTACCCCCAGCGGGTCTGGTCGACGCTGGGGCGTCTGATACCCCAGCTGGGGTTCCCGTGGCTGCAAGCATTCTTCAACTTCCCAGCCCCGGCAGTCTTGGGGGAGGAGTCCGCGCTGCAGGGGTACATATGGTTGACGTGTGGGGTGCTCCAGACGGGGCCTCGCCGTCGAGGATCGAAGGAGTCGGCATCTCTTCTTGGACTCGGCATCTCTTCTTCGGGGGTCAGTGCAGACGGGGGTCAGCCCGCCGGATCCTGCAGGATCCTGCGAAGACCCCCTCTGGCTGACCCGGGTTAGCGAGCCGCTCGTGGCCGCGAGGCGGCCGCGCCTATTGGCTGACCCGGGTTTGCGAAGACCTGCGTTGCAGTTTTTTTTCCTGCATTGCAGTTTTTGGTTTCCTGCTGACCCGGGTCTGGATTGACCCGGGTCAGAAGATCCCCGACAGAGATGATCGCTTTTTTTGGTTCTGGGTTTCTGGAGCCCGCCATGCGGTTGCCTGCAGTCGGGGACTTGTGCTTAGCGCATCGCGCCGCCGGTCTTGTTCCACCGCGCCTCGGCGCGAGACGCTGACCAAGTCCTGGTCTTATGATGCTCCAGCCTACTTTAGCCTTGACCACCAGAAGGAATTTCGAGCACCAGAAAATTACCCGAACACTCCGGGATTTTCACGTGCCGGGCCCTGGTAGACACTCCTCCGACACTGTGTCGACACTCTCGCGACACTCTTTCGACACTTTTCTCCGGGTGCTCAGAGTCATTTCTGACATGTGGTCCTTAAGTACCATGGGAGCAACATACAGTCAACGCGCCTAGTAAGGACGCGCGCCTTCATCTCGGGTACCCTTGTGTCCTTGCCTCTGAGGCTCGTCCTTGCCATTATCACTGGTCGCCCGCCGCCCTAAAAAACCCAACATTGGCCTCCAAGGGCCTTGCGTCCTTACCTCGCGTCCTTACTATACGTTTTGACTGTAGTCCTGGCCCCGAGCGTCAGCGTCGAGAGCATCTCCCACCCGCCCCGCGGAGCGCGGCGACACGCTCTCCGCCCGCAGGGCATGCGCAGCGGGTCGCCGGGGCTGCTGCCGCGACACGCGAAGCAGAGGTTCCTTCGCCAGCCTCGAACTTACTTTGAGTCCTCCTCCCCCTCCTCCTCCTCCTCCTCCTCCTCCTCCTCCTCGTCCTCCTCCTCCTCCTCCTCCTCCCCCTCCCCCTCAATAGTCCTGGGTCCCCGGACTACTGGTACCCCCTTGGAACTACAGGTACCCCTTCCGTACACCCCCCTAGACTACAGGTACCCCCCCCCCAACTACAGGTACCTCCCCCCCGGACTACAGGTACCCCTCCCCGAACTACAGGTGCTTCTCCCCGTACCCCCCCCCCCCGACTACAGGTACCCCTCCCCGGACTACAGGTACCCCCCCCTGGACTACAGGTACCCCCGTTGGGCGCTACAAATCCTCTCCGAAGCTACAGGACCCCGTCAATTCGCTATCCCCTGGGAGCCAAAGCGGCCCACCAAGCATGTCTCTGCACATTTCCACCCATCGCCCACATTGGGTCAGCGGTCGAGACGGGGCACTATCGAGGGACGAATGGGCATCGAAACAGGGACAGAACGACAAAAGGAAAGAGACATCTACAGAAAAAGAGGCACACGAGTAGGGAGGAAGGGAGGAACAGAGATATTGGGAGAGAAAGAGAGACACTGACTGTCGGACTGACGGGAAGCGTGTGTTCGCGCGTGTCGGCGCGCATGCGCGTGCGCGTGACGCGTGCAACGATGCGCGTGCAGTCCCGCGCGCGCAGACACCCGCGCGCCGAAACCCGTGCGCGTGGAGCCACGCGTGCTTCGACGAATAATATGCGCGCCCCCCCGGACTACGGGTACCCCCGCGCGGCCCCACCCCCGGACTACAGGTACCCCCCCCGGAACCCCTTCCCCGGACTACAGGTAACCCCCCCCCGGACTACTGGACCCCCCCCTTCGGACTACAGGTACCCACCCCGGACTACAGGTACCCCCAGAACTATTGAGGGACACAGAGTATCCCTATCCCTGAGATTGACACGCCAAAAGGCGATGACAATCTTAGGGATGCACCCTCAGAAACTGAGGGAATCCCTAAGATCGCCATCGTGATGTGGCGATGCCCACCATAGGGATAGGGATATGTTCCAGGCTGGTCATTCCTCACCGTATCACCTGCTCCCTCAGGAGAGCGCAGTTCGGCGGCCGCCGCAGCGAGCCTGCGCCGGCTGGTGCTCAGCACGCCCTCAGAGGCCTCCTCGTCGGGCGGTGCCGACGCCGTGAGGGAGCAGGCTCGGTCCAGGCTGCTGGAGACGAGCCTTACCATAGAGAGGCGCATGGATGAGCTCTTCGCTCGCAGAGGCAAGCTGCAGGCCATGGTCGAGAAGGAGGCGGTCGAGCAGACCGACAGCGTCTCTACGGACTCCGCCCCGTGACATGGCGCGGGCCTGGCAGATCGAGGCGCTCGAATTCGCACAGCGCTGCCTAGCCCGAGCGAGAGCGAATGCTGTTTTCAGTAGGCATTTGAGCGTGTCTGGGAAACTCGCGGCTCTTGCTCATGTGCCTTCCTATGGGTAGAGGTGTACATGTCCATATGCATTCACTTGATACTTGTACTCGAAGGGTGTGCACATGTGTATATAGCTATATTCGTGGGTGGACAGAACCCCCAACAGTGACACGTCGATTAGTGAATTGTCCGTTTTCGGTTCTCGAGAGGGCGCCGCGGCCGTTATTTTCCGGGGTTGCGCCCGCCAGGTTTGGGCCTCAGGTCGTTTTCACTAAACCACGTTTTACTAAAGGGAGGTCTGTCCATCCCCGATATATGTATACGTACACGCATGTATATGTCTGTCAACACTTCTTAGAGTGAGGGGGTCGACTAGTCATTCACTGTCCCCGGCTGCGTGGCTCCGCGGTGCGGATTGTTATTGCGTTGTTGTTGTTGTTGGTGGTGTTGGTGTTTGTGTTGGTGTTGTTGCTGTTGCTGTTGCTGTTGCTGTAGTAGTAGTAGTAGTAGTAGTAGTAGTAGTAGTAGTAGTAGTAGTAGTAGTAGTGGTAGTAGTAGTAGTAGTAGTAGTAGTAGTAGTAGTAGTAGTAGTAGTAGTAGTAGTAGTAGTTAGTAGTATAGTAGTAGTAGTAGTAGTAGTAGTAGTAGTAGTAGTTGTAGTATTAGTAGTAGTAGTATAGTAGTAGTAGTGTAGTAGTAGTAGCAGTAGTAGTAAGTAGTAGTATTAGTCGTAGTAGTAGTAGTTAGTAGTAGTAGTAGTAGTAGTAGTAGTAGTAGTAGTTAGTATTAGTAGTAGTAGTAGTCGTAGTTGTAGTAGTAGTAGTCGGAGGAGTTGTTGTTGTTGGTGTTGCTGTTGCTGTTGTTGTTGTTGTTGTTGTTGTTGAACATTATTAATTCTAAAGAATAATTATTGTTGGGCCCCTGGTGCACGGCCCCCCTGCGCCGCCTAGGCCGCAGCTACATTTTCATCATTTTCGTGAGGAAGCCTCAGGTAATTCGATGTGATCAAGATCCGGTTGTTTTGTTCCCCCCCGCTTTCCCTTGCAAAAAACACTATAAAATGACATTTCTTGTTCTAATATAATCAAATTTCAAGAATCCCTTGCAAAAAATAAGGTAAAGTGGACATTCGCGCGCGCAAGACGAAATCCTTCCAAAAGCTTAGTGTTCGGAGCGATTTTAACATAAAAACATCAAAAAACCAATGGTTTTTCAACACAAAAAATGTCAAAATCTCATCCCGCGCGCTCTTGCGGATTCGTAGGAAACCCAACACTTTTTAAACATTTCTGTCAAACGGGCTTTTGCGAGCAACTTTTTCGAACTTCTGCGACAACGGTTGCGCACCTGCCAGGGCCATCATCCCTGTCAAATAATACCATGCGGGACACATTCGTCTCTCTGTATTATGTATTGTATGGCACAATTGCACCATGCTGGGCACATGCGCGCCCCGAATAAGTGACCAAGTTCTGTGGGTGTGTACCCCACGCCAGTGTAGTAGCCACGGTCGTCCGCACGCCACGAAGTGAAGTGTCCCAACGTCATAGGGCGGGAAGCTGGGTTTGGGTGGTCGCGAAGAGTCGTTTGGATATTTGGTAGAGCTTGTAATGCCCCCCCACGAAGTGGGGGTATTGCCTGGTGTCGTATGAAAACCCTGGCACTGGGGAGAACACCACGCGTTCGGGTAAAATGATTGTTGTTGTTGTTGTTGTTGCTGTTGTTGTTGTTGTTGTTGTTGTTGTTGTTGTCGGTGTCGTTGTCGTTGTTGTGGTCGTTGTCGTTGTAGTTGTGGTTGTTGTTGTTGTTGTTGTTGTTGTCGTTGAGTGTTAATTATTAAACATTTATTATTCTTCGACCCCTTACAGGCGCCCTGGCGCTCTTGCCGAGGCGCCGGCTACATTTTCAATTGAAAATCAGGCTCACGCTCGAGCGGTTTGGGGGACCGCCAAAACCGGCCCCCCAACAACAACAACGCTCCCGCTCGAGACTTCCCCCTTTATACTTAGGGCTGGTGTTCTTGCTCGCCGCCGAAAGCCGCCGTTCTAAACAAAACCAGCGCTCCCGCTCGAGACTTCCTCCCGTTTTTCCTTGGACTGGCGCGCTAGTCTTTCTCTCGTCGGCGCCGCCCCCAGCAAAAACAACTCTCCCGCTCGATGCTTCCCCCCTTCTTACTCAAGGCAGTGTTCCTCCTCGCCGCCGAAGACCGCCGCCCCGACAAAACCAGCACTCTCGCCCGAGACTTCCTCTTGTTTCACGCTGGACAGGCGCCCTACTCTCTTTTGAATTGGCGCCGCTCCCAGCAAGAACAACGCTCCCGTTCGAGGCTCCCGCCCTTTTTCCTGAAGACGGTGCTGTTCCTCGCCGCCGAGAACCCCCGTCCCGACAAAACCACGGCTCCCGCTCGATGCTTCCCCCCTTCTTACTCAAGGCAGTGTTCCTCCTCGCCGCCGAAGACCGCCGCCCCGACAAAACCAGCACTCTCGCCCGAGACTTCCTCTTGTTTCACGCTGGACAGGCGCCCTACTCTCTTTTGAATTGGCGCCGCTCCCAGCAAGAACAACGCTCCCGCTCGAGACTTTTTTTCCTGAAGACGGTGCTGTTCCTCGCCGCCGAGAACCCCCGTCCCGACAAAACCACGGCTCCCGCTCGATGCTTCCCCCCTTCTTACTCAAGGCGGTGTTCCTCCTCGCCGCCGAAAGCCGCCGTCCCAACAAAACCAGCGTTCCCGCTCGAGACTTCGTTTTTTTACGCTGGGCTAGCGCCCTACTCTCTTCAGCATTGGCGCCCATCCCAGTAACAACAGCAGCCCTGCTCGAGACTTCCTCCCTGTCTATTCAGGGCCAGGTCCTTGCCTCACCGCCGACAGCCCCCATCCCAACCAAGTCATTCCTGTTGTTCGATATTTCCTTGTGCTTTACCTTCGCTAGGGTTCCACTGGCGGTCTCGCATCGGCGCGCGGGCATGTGTTTTCGAGGCGGGATCTGTTGAAATTCCTCGGGGGAGGTTTTTGCAAGACCTCATTGGGCGGGATATCTGGGAATGGGAATAACGGACCCCGCTATAGAACAAGAGTCCCCCATGATGTGGATGGTTATCATGATGGTCGCATGCTTCGTGTGGAAACATCGCGCATGAGGGTGCAATGATTGTTGTTGTTGTTGTTGAACATTATTAATTCTAAAGAATAATTATTGTTGGGACCCCTGGTGCACGGCCCCCCTGCGCCGCCTAGGCCGCAGCTACATTTTCATCATTTTCGTGAGGAAGCCTCAGGTAATTCGATGTGATCAAGATCCGGTTGTTTTGTTCCCCCCCGCTTTCCCTTGCAAAAAACACTATAAAATGACATTTCTTGTTCTAATATAATCAAATTTCAAGAATCCCTTGCAAAAAATAAGGTAAAGTGGACATTCGCGCGCGCAAGACGAAATCCTTCCAAAAGCTTAGTGTTCGCAGCGATTTTAACATAAAAACATCAAAAAACCAATGGTTTTTCAACAAAAAATTGTCAAAATCTCATCCCGCGCGCTCTTGCGGATTCGTAGGAAACCCAACACTTTTTAAACATTTCTGTCAAACGGGCTTTTGCGAGCAACTTTTTCGAACTTCTGCGACAACGGTTGCGCACCTGCCAGGGCCATCATCCCTGTCAAATAATACCATGCGGGACACATTCGTTTTTTCTTCGCGCGCGCACGCCGAAATCTCCAAAAACCATTGGGCTTCTTAAGAATTTTAGCACCGCGCATCATAAAATCACACGAATCGCACCGTAGGTCCTCGAAAAACACCTGCACGACTTTTCAAAATTTCTACCCGCGCGCGCTGTCCTAACAACTTCTGTGGGTGTGTACTCCACGCCAGTGTAGTAGCCACGGTCGTCCGCAGGCCACGAAGTGAAGTGTCCGAACGTCATAGGGCGGGAAGCTGGGTGTGGGTGGTGGCGAAGAGTCGTGTGGATATTTGGTAGAGCTTGCACTGCCCCCCCACAAAGTGGGGGTATTGGCTGGCGTCGCATGAAAACCCTGGCACTGGTGAGAACACTGAGCGTTCGGGTAAAGTGATTGTTGTTGTTGTTGTTGTTGTTGTTGTTGTTGTTGAACATTATTTATTCTAAAGAATAATTATTGTTGGGACCCCTGGTGCGCGGCCCCCTCGCCGCGCCTAGGCCGCAGCCACATTTTCATCATTTTCGTGAGGAAGTCTCAGGCAAAACGTGGGTGTCCGGATCCGGTTGTTTTGTTGTCCCCCGTTTTCCCTTGCAAAAAATAAGCTAAAGTGGACATTTCTTGTTCTAACATAACCAAACTTCAAGAATCCCTTGCAAAAAATAAGGTAAAGTGGACATTCGCGCGCGCAAGACGAAATCCTTCCAAAACCTTAGTTTTCGTAGCGATTTTAACATAAAAACATCAAAAAACCAATGGTTTTTCAAACAAAAAATGTCAAAATTTCATCCCGCGCGCTCTTGCGGATTCGTAGGAAACCCAACACTTTTTAAACATTTCTGTCAAACGGGCTTTTGCGAGCAACTTTTTCGAACTTCTGCAACAACGGTTGCGCACCTGCCAGGGCCATCATCCCTGTCAAATAATACCATGCGGGACACATTCGTTTTTTCTTCGCGCGCGCACGCCGTCGTCGTCGGCCGCGGGGCCCTGAATAGTAGCCACGGTCGTCCGCATGCCACGAAGTGAAGTGTCCGAACGTCATAGGGCGGGAAGCTGGGTGTGGGTGGTGGCGAAGAGTCGTTTGGAAATTTGGTAGAGCTTGAACCGGCCCCCCCACAAAGTGGGGGTATTGCCCGCCTCCTATGAAAACCCTGGCACTGGTGAGAACGGAGTGTCCCCACGTGCTAGTAATTGTTGTTGTTGTTGTTGTTGTTGTCGTCGTCCTCGCCCGCGACCAGCCCGCCCCCCCCCG